ATGCTTTTGATGCTTACTGGGCATTTTCAATATTGATGGCACTGATGAAAACATCTTTATCAGATTGTCATCTCAGATGGGAAGTCACAAGAATGGGTTCGACAGATTGGAGTCACACATAACATTTTTTCATGAGACCAGTGGCAGAAAATTCATTGATTTACATGCATAAATCAGAAATTAATTTTATGAGTATATGGTTTGTTTACACCTGATTTTGTAACTGACATATGTTTAAATGTCTGTCTGCAGTCTGTGTACCATGAGCTAAGGGAGTATGCCTAACGTAGTGCTGGTGTATCAGTCACATCTATACCATTGTATTCAATAATAGGTCATCTGTTCCTCAGCTGCTACGTAGTATTATTTGATTTTCAGCATAGTTGAATACATAAGTGGCCGGTGACATTTGTTGCCTCCACAATAATAACAATTTTCCTTGTAGCTCATAGGACTATAGTCACCTATTTACACTTCTGGAAATAGAGCAGTCCAAAGACAGTCTTGACAACGAAAGAAGGTGACAGGGAGCTACTGTTCTGTAATGGCTGCTTCACATCTCCTGCTGTCACAGTGCATGGCTTCCTCCACCTCTGCAATTGGTGATAAAACTTTAGCCATGTTCTGAGAAGATATGGGAGCCAGGAGAGAGCAAGCCCCTGCAGTCATATTCTCACACCTCAGCTCAGTCATCTTCTGCTATCTCCAATTTAGGCTGCTAATGGTGTGGTAGCTTGCATTTCTACTTTCTCAAAAATGGAGTGCCTGGAACGTTCACTGTTCAGTTTGCTATGTGTCTTTTTTAATGTTTGCCCTAGGGATGGTTCAAATGCAAAAAAACCCCCAACACCCTAGAAGAATAGGAATGCAATGTTTCCGTTGCTTATAGGCAGATCCTACATTCTATTCTACACACTTTTTTCTAACCGACAAGCTAGAATTTTATTCTATATAATTTGGTACCAAAAGCTACATTTAACTGACATTAAGATTGTGAAGTAAGACCCCCAGAAAGATTGACAATTCAAAAATTAAGCCTTACACTCTGTTCTTAACCCACGGTGCTCATGGCACAGGAGTCTTGGCCAAACAACTGAAGAGGTGAAATACACTTCTAAGAAAAAGTGTAAGTCTGCTCCATAGATTTTAGTCTATAAGCTTCTGTTAGTTTCGTTCACAAAATTAGCCTTAAAAAACCTTTATCCCCTCCCTTTGCCCCACTTTGAAAGAAGAAAAAGAACAAAAGTTCATAAGAAGATATAAAATATGTATTACATTTATTCAAGAGACTTGAAAGGGCTCCTTTGGAGCCATTTGAGTCTCTCTATCCCAGCCTATCCAGTAAATATACAGTTACATAGTTTTTAAAATGTTGTTTTTTGGGTTTTTTTTGATAAAAATTAGTTTGTGTCTACAGTCAAGAACCTTTTTATAGACTTATACATTAAAAGGCCAGAGTAAACACTGCTATCACCTACTCTGGCCTCCTGAATCATACAGACCATAGTACTCTGAAAGTACACAACCCTGTATAGTCAATTTGATAGACTGTAACTGATTAACACAATGCATATTCAGTTTTGCATTCTTCCACAGTACAGATCATGACAATAGCAATATGGAAATGTTTATTAAAATTTTTATGAAAAAGTTACGGCACATGAGCAGGAACCCAGATTGCAGAACTGAAAATATTTGCAATTTGTGTTTTCTTAAATGTCAGAATTACAGGCCCTGGTATAAAAACAACTGTTCAAAAAAATAACATTGTCTTAGAACTTTTACTCATTTGAGTTCAAAATGAAATCAGGCAACATTACTAGTTTACTCTGACCTTCTATAATTTGAAAATAGCCAGTATGCATTTGGGAATTACAGTGGACACAACTGCTACTACATCTTTTTCTTAAAACAAACCTTTATGACTGTGTTATACTGAAAACAGGAGTACATAATAGAAATTCTGACACAATCTTGCTCTGCATGACATAAACATGCCAATATAATATTTTTTCTCCCTCTCTCTGTATATAATATATATGCACTTTTATGTAAAAGAAAATAGACTGCTTAACTTATCATGTATTCGTGTATCTATGATGTACCATATACCAAGCACTAGACTTATCACACTTACCTTCCTGCATAATTAAGGTTAAATTCTCGAAATACAAACATTTTTGTTACCTAATCAAAGAACAGTCAACATGCTCAGCACTTCATTACTGTCAGGGAAAAAGTTGCACAAAAAGTTAAAGCTGCCATGAAAGATATTTCAGAATTGAAGTGAAATTTTCAAGTGAATAAAAAAAAAAAAGGTGAGATGCTCTTCTGACTTCAAGGTAATATAAAATAACTTCTCCTACTGTAAAGGAAAACCAAAACTGGAATAAGGAGTGCTGTTAGTGTTTTCCACCAACTATCCAAGAGAAAAAATTGGAACAGCAACATGAATCATTGTGTTCTGTGTGTAGCAGAACAAAAATTATAGTAGTTCGCTGACATTAAAAATCTCTCCATGGATTAAAATATGCATGTATGTGTATGTGTTTGTGTGCATTTATAAATATACAAACACACACACATATTTTAATATATATAACAAACAGGCATAGAATTCCAAATTCACCAAATGAGCTGATGCACAGTAAATATGATGTTACTTAGCTGTCAGTTAATCTATATATTCAGCAACAACTGAATTGGATTTGCTAAAAAATAGCAAAAAGTAATTTTTTTTACTGTCAGAGTGACAGAGCACTGGAACAGGCTGCCCAGGGAGGTTGTAGAGTCTCCTTCACTGGAGACATTCAAAACCCACCTGGATGCGTTCCTGTGTGATGTACTCTAGGTGACCCTGCTCTGGCAGGGGTGGTTGGACTAGATGATCTTTCGAGGTCCCTTCCAACCCCTAGGATTCTATGATTCTATGAAAAAATGCTATGGGCTGATACTGGTGCACTTCTAACCTACAGTATGCAGTACCTCTACAAAATTTCTCCAAAATGCCATCTGCATTGCATATTTGTTGAAAAACTATATCTTTTTCATTTTTGTTAACCGTACATATGTATATCTGTTTATGCTCTAAGAAATAAGTTTGCAATGCTTTCTAGCATGCCACATATGTTCATAAAATAAGTCTTCAAAACAATATAAAATCATGTAATTGAACAAAAAGGCATACTATTTTTCATGCTCAATATAAATATAAATTCAAGGCAGTCAAGCTATCCATTACCAAAATAATAATAACCGTAATATATATGTATATATACCTACACTCTCTAAAAAATGATCCAGTTATGCGGATTAAGAAACCAGTAAGAAATTGAATGCAGTATAAAAGTCCCGTTTTATGTAAAAGCCAATACTGGCCATTTCAAGTATTTTAATACTTTCCTATAACCTTTTCATTAATATCTAGCTATTTCTAGAAATGATAATTTTATACTGAAAATCGTATTCAAGTCAAATAAAAATTAACTTCTACTGTAGTTCATTTTTAGAGTGTGCATGTATACATAGCAAAACACCGTTCTACAGATCTATCATAAATATTTCAGTTTATGTCAGTTCTTTTCTAAGAAAACACTTCAACTTTTTTTAATCAATTTTTGGATAATGTATATCAGGCCTTTTAAGAAACAAAACTTTTCTTAGTTCATTTGCAACATTAGATTCCCTTCAGTTTGTGCCAGTTTGCAAGTTAAAGGTCAAAGATTAAAGACATAGGACAGTAGACTCATAGTGAAGCTGTTCACAGAAGACAATGTTTAACTTGGTAACGACAGGTCAATAATCAAGTTCAAGGCAAGCTGTTCATTGTTGCAAAAGCTGCTCCCCTCAAATCCTGGCTTTCATAAAAAACCAGGTGTCTGACTTTTGGGGTGCATCATTCTGACCATCTTTAGTAAGTTCACAGCCCAGTGACTGTAAAGCCTATCACTGCAAGAAGCAGCTCCTAAAATCAATAAAGAGGTCTGTCAGTTGCTGACTTTTCTCTAGGAAAAAAATATTGATACAAACCCGCTCTGCAGGTCACATGAAAATGACAATACTGCTGTTAGCACAAATTACACAGAAAGACAAAATGCTTTGGTGGTCCCTTGGCTCTGTCACTGATACTATGTTCGGCTGAAAGGCAAAAATTTGCTTAACCCTTTGAGAACTATGGTGAACATGCAAAGGGGTAACACACTGGAGGACACTCATGCAATATCAGAGTCATTGTTTTAATTTTGCTTTGGAACTGCAACTCTACCTCTGCAGAGGAAAATTGAATTATCATGCAACACAGTTTAAAAGAGAAATTCAAGATGCTTAAGGTAAAAGGCTAAGCTACTAAACTGTCTCCAGTTCAGAAAAGTTCTTGGTAAGTGGTATTAGTTATTAAAATAGTTTGGTTCCTTTAACCAGAAAGTAGCTGGTAAATGTATCTTCTTTTCTATTTATGTTATAAATGCTTTTCTATCAATAATGCAAATAATTAAAAACACTAACTTGCAGTCACAGGATATCTGTTTTGAAACACTGGTTTTCTTTTAAAACCTGTATTATCCAAACACAATCCTATAATTAATGACAACCAAGATTAACATCCACCAGACTCTGAAAACGGATGCAATAGTTCTCAAAGGGTTATACCACCAATGTAATACCAGCATTGAGTTCCTCTATAGCATGACTGTTGCTTTAGTTCATTGAAATTCACTTCAGAGACACACTGATTTTTACCACACTTTGGAATGAATGCTCCTGGCAGACCTTTGAAAGGCCTGGGGCAGCTGGCTTGGTGCAGCTTGGGAAAGATTATGCAGGAAAACCAACCAAAAATCAAACAAACCAAGAAAAAGCTTCTGCTCGAATATAGTAATGAATACAAATGAGTCTAAAACATTGAGGACATAGCCCAGAGCAGCTGTAAAAAACACAAAATGAATGTATTATTAAGGCTGTTACTATATTGCAGATATTTTGGCCCCCTGTTTGTTGGAAAATGGCTGTCCGAACAGTCTGAAGTCCTGCGTGTCATCCGAGTCTCCCACCTGACAAAACTGGAAGTAGGAGTATAGGACTTTATCCGTAGCAGACAGAAAGCAATCCTCTTTGGAGACAAAGCTGTTTTGGGTCTTCTCACTTTCCTGAAAGTTCCGTTGTGGGTTGTTGTGTTTTTCTAAAAAAATTTCCTTTCAGCAAAAAATATTTCAAAGGGGAACAGGCCTTAAGGGAAAAATGTAGAAACATTGGAGATATTTTTTTTTTCCTCCTCATTAGTTAATCCTGATAGTTTATCGGGCATTGAACGTGCAGAGGAAAGGCCTAGAATCAAATGACAAAGAAAGACAAAGGACTGAAGGAACAGCAGATACTGTGTATCATGGAAGCTTCCCAGCTGAGCGAATCATCACTCAAGCGCAGGACAGGCAACCCCTTGGGTTTCAAAGATCAGCTTTGTTTCAGACTGACAGATGCCCGCTCCTAGCTAGGAAACTGCATAACTGCTCTTGTGTTGAATCTCAAGTTACCACAAACTCCTGGGAGGGAAAGCAAAAAACACAAAACCCTACATCACACCCACTCTTGCATAGAGCGTTTGCAGTACAGTATGTGGCGGGGTGTTCCTTTCCTTTTGAACTGGAACACAGTGTAAACCAACACAAGGAGGCACAAGGCCAGGATGCAGGGAATGACGATGGCTATAGCTTTCACAGTGCTGGCTGTGTTGTCCAGTTTGATGACAATGTCAACATCATCTTGAGGGCTGTGTCGGTCTTTGTCTCGATCTGTTGGTCCATCACAACCCATAAAATCTTTGAGGATGGATCTCGGATAGCCAGGTTCCACCCTGAGCATCTGGTTATTGAATTTCCAGTACTCTTTTCCTTTGTAGAAATATGTGAAGCCTGTAGAAGAAAATTGCAATTATTCATGGTCATATTGAATCAAATCATGTCACCAACACACCATGACCAAGACTACTGGTATAAAATTATTTTATAATATAAAATTTAAAAGATGTAAGGAATAGAATTCACCTATCAGTCTTTCAAGCCTTCTTAAAAAAATTGATTTCTTTACTGTCTCTAGAAAATCTAACATCAGGATTTTTATTTTTTTTTTAATTGAATAAACTGCAAATTAATTTTCTTTCATTAATTATTAAAAAAAAAAAAAAAGGAATTCCAAAGAGTATGATTTTTGACAGACTAGGGTCCAGCTGATTTGTTCATTCACAGAAAAAAACCAACCAAAATTACAGTTCTCAGGGCCAGGACTTTGAAGCATCACATTTTCAAGATGGGAAGTCCACTGAAACAAATTGCGATGCTATGCTAGCCAGAGATGCTAACTGAGCCTCCTTAATGTCACATAGCCTACTGCTGTACTTCAGAATTAAAAAACTGCATGAAATAACAGCAGCTCTGTCAAGAGAAAACAGGTGTAATCAGATTGAAGTTTTCTCCAAAGAGTTGGTATTTGATCATTCTGGTGTAATCCATGTTATTAGTAAACTTGTCTTAATGGGAAAAAACCCAACAAAGCAAGACACTTGACTCTCTGCCATAAGCCTACATAATTTTATTATCCCAGATGAAAAATGCCATTGATCTGGAAAGAAACAAGCCTTCTGGATGGGTAAACTTCCTCCTACTATTTCTGAAATTAATGTGAACAGCTGGATTTTTCTTTATCTTTACTTCATAGACCTCAGCTTGTATCCTACAGTATTAAAGGCCAATAAAAATATTAAAACTGATTGGGCACTATTTGTCATTTTAACAAGGCTTTCTGAAAATATTGGTAACTGGCTATATGGCGATAATATTAGTAATCACCCATTCAAAGTTGTAGCCTTTTTTCAGTATAAAGTATTTTCCAGGTCAAATTCTGTTAAAAAACCTTCATCATCTATTACTACTTTTCAGAATATTTAGAACATTTTAACATTCTTCTACATTATGTGCTTATGTAATTTTAATGGCCTTCCTAGCTGCTGTAAAGGTGCTGTTTTCCATTCCTTAATCTGTTGCACTTTTATTATGTAAAAATGTGTTGATATATCTATAAAAAGGTATAATACTGGTGAAAAAGAAAAAAGAAAAGCACTGAGCTATACCAAAACAGTAGTTAGGAGGCTTGTTCACAATATGCTGTTTATTCTGATTGGAATAAAACAAAAAAAAAAAAGAGGACTGGAATTTTTTTAATACAATGAAGTTTTGAAATGTTAGCATCTATAAAGTTCCTTAAAGCAATCTGTAGTTTAAATTAAAAACTATCAAAAGCAAAATTTCAGTATTTTGATCCACAGATTGTCCTACCTTTACATTCCATATAATACGTACGCAAGAAAGCACCGTACATACGTGTCTTGGATAAATATTTAAAGTGTGGAAACTTTATACATTATCTCTACAAATATTCTAATACATACATAGAGACCATATAAAGATATGACAACTCTAAATCTGTATTCTTACATACATATAGAATAGACATATATATACATCAGGGACACATATAAGTCAGAATACTGACATTACTATTAATTGTTATTATACTTTTTTTTTATTATAAAATTTAAAACTGTTAAAATCAAAGCACTAAAGGAATTATCAACCCCTATAGATCCAGTAGAAATTTTTCAATCAGAGCATATTTTCCACTGGAAAACCTTTAAGCTATGTTAGTTTTCTGTAATTTTTCTGAGGCTGGAACCAGGATAGCAGTACCAGATGAAGGATGGAAGTTACCAGCAGAGAAGTGTAGTTGTAAAAGACTAAGTAGTTTTATTGCTTCTCATGGCAGAACAAGTTGCTTCACACAACTGTTGAAAGTGATTTAGTCTAATCTACTTGACTTATTGAGCCTGCCTTGGGAGCTGCTCCTTGAAATTTTCCAGGTCCTAGTTGCTGAGAGTAGTGAGCACAATGCCTGACCCAAACAGCATTGAAGGGTTTTGCAGTCACTAAAGTGTCAAACAGAAACTCAGATTAGTAGTGGTAGTAAGCACAGGGCAAAATCAGCTCGATGGGCTAACAAAGTACACTACCTTTTCTCTTTCTTCTCTCTGAAAATCGCCCCACCATTCACTTTAGCAGAATTTCAAGTTGGGACGTGAGATTTTCTATGTTGCCCTCAAGGCAGTAAGAAAGATTTCTCCAACCTGGAGATCTTTGTGTGATCTCAGACTGCATGAAGCAAGAGAAAGGAAATTTATTCATGTCCTCCTAAGAGTTCCTTCCACAGCATTAGAAATCAAATCACATTATGGGTGGTAGCAGAGAGACTTTCAAAGGTGCTACATGTATCTAAGCAAGCTTCTAGGACACTAAGTCTAGATGTTGACTTGAGGAGAAAATTGTTCTATTCTCATCTTTTCCAAGCCTGTTCCTGCAAGTTTATCCAAAATATTTGTGGACAGTGAAGGAAACCCCTTTATGATCAGACTTATTGCAGGTGTTCATTTTAATGATTACAGAATAGAAAGACAAGGGAAAGAAAAAAGTATTCTTTAAAATGAAATTATTTAACTGGAAGAGATGCTTTCATGTGTTCCCTTCCAAAGCTATATAGTAAAACTCCCTTGTCAACTCTGCTTCTGTCCAGATACAGGTAAACAGTTACAGCCAAGATGAAATCAACTTCTTTCCAACTAAGCTGTGGTACTCCTTACTTGCACCTCCTTTTTTTTTCTTTCTGTCCTCATACAAACAACAATGAAGATGTGAACTGTTTCTTAGGACATGTCTGTTTTCTTGATTTCAGGGAAAATGTCTTAGTGATCTTCTTGGGAACTTTATAGTGCTATTTTCAGTCCCTCTTTCTGCCCTGGGGCCTTTTTAGGCTGAGAAACACAAAAATGCTTTCTTTCCCTTCCTCTCCTTCACAAGCTCGTGTCATATTTTACCACTCTCCTCATTCAAAGTCACAGAGACTAGCAAAGCCACTGTGGTAAAAAAGACAAGACCACGAGTCTTTCCTGTCTTAGGAATGAGTGCTCTGCCTCTGTCTGCAGTACTTGCGAACTCACTGGTCTGAGTGTTTTCATTTGTAATGAGAGACACCTGTGCCTGAACTCAGTACAAAGAACTTATGGAGAATGCAAACAAGGTAAGGCAAAAACCCAAACCCATACACACATACATACATACATACATACATATATATATATATGTTGAATTCCTTTTGGATGTAAATAGTCTAAAATGTGCTTAAAAAGTAATGAAGAGAAAAATACAGATAGTATATCCATTATGTCTATGCATATGTGATTGTGCCCATTTCCATATATATTTCTATTTGCAAACAGTTAGTTACTGAGTGTGATGGATGCAGAATATCATCTTGACTGACCTGCATTCCAGTTAAAACCAAAATAAAACTAATAAAAACACCCCCCAAAAATATTAAAAAAACATCCAGTCTAATCAAAAGGCCAGAATCCAAAGAGGGTCTCTGCTTTTGGATAAAACAGAAATAAAGCAAGGAAGCAATTAAAAAGATTTCTAAAAAAAAAAGCAAACAACAAACATTTCCAAGGTAAATTACTTCATTAAGTTAGAGTTTGAAATAGGAGAATAAAATGGCTTGTACAAAGAAAGAAACCGTTTAATTTGCTTACTAAAAGGAAATTAAAACAATATGACAATACATACGTGTGTTGTCTGTGAGGCAAACAGAATATGCTCAGAACCTACTAATAAATAAATCATAAATGTCATACAACAATTCTCCAACAATGATAAGTGATGAAAAATGTATATTTTTATTACCATCAAAGAGTTCTAAATTTTGTGCAACCGAGGGCTCTATCAGCAGCCTGTCAGCAGCCACTGGGTAGCATCAAATTCTCATAAGAGATTCTCTTTGCTCTCATCAATTTGTAGGTGTGGCCAGCTGAGATTCTAGGTTTCTTTATGTGATGATGCATCTTGATACAGCTAGTAGGACTTTGTACTAAGATCTCTGTGATCAACATTTCTGCATCATGGGTTACGTAACTTCCTGGGGATATTTCTGCTTAGGTAAAGATTTTGCTTCCTTTTTCTAGCTCTTCAGAATGAAAGTAATACCTTTTGATCTGTTTAAACAGCCAACACCTTGACAATTCAAATAGAGATATACTGTGGTTAGGAAGCTTCTTTTAAGGGGAAATATAGTTCAGCAGAGAACAAAAATAATTAAGTTAATGAAAACACAGAAAAAAAAAATTACATCAAGTTTTAAGATACTAAATTTGAAAGAATTTTCTCCACTGTGTCAAATGGTATGTGCAGCCATTTTCACAACAGTAAGAACTATATCAGGAAATAACTCTGTTCATAACACAAGAATTATTTTGCTATTTAACATGAATAGTCAATCATTCCTGTACTATTCTATCTTACATAAAGGGTGTTAGTAAATCATTAAAACAGGAGCGTATTTGCATACCATTTTCTTTGTGAACGAAGGCTCCCTGAGGAGATTCTGGGATACCTTTCCAAATTGTGATTGGTTTGGGATAACCAGGGTCCATGGATCTCATTTCTTCACTGTACCTCCAGTACCTGAATTTTTTTTTTAAAGGACAAAAAAAATTAATAAAATTAAATTAAAAAGGCTTTAAAAGAGAGCAGATGAGTAACTAGATATATTCTCCTTTCAACAGTTGCTACATTCATTAGCCACAAATGGAAACACCCGACTTCTTTTCCTTGAACATGCTATCACATTATGAAGAAACCTATTTGCTGACTGGACAACAGTTTCAGGTAAGCAGAAAGAAGATAAAAGGTTTTTGCACTTTCACAACTAGATCGGCATGTATCTCTACTTCTAATTGCAGCAATTCTGATGCCTAGGACTTCTTCACAGTGACACAGAGAGATGCAACATATGCAAAAAAATATACATCAATGTTTTAGATAATATTTTAATCACAAAAATTATGGCAAATTCAGATTAAAATACTCTTAATTCAGCTTCTTTTGTGTATGCATTACAGTAGCTCTTCATTTCATTATCATTACATAGATATAGTGTAATAAAACATTCAGCCTGCTTTTGTGCTTTTTTTGCCAGCCAACCCTACTCCAGTTTGAAAAGCTTCAGCATACAAATTCTAGGCAACCTGAACCGGTAGGAAGAATTTACACTTTTGTTTTAATTTATACTTACAGATAATGTTGATAATTTCTTTGTCATTACGTAGCTGGCTAAATTGCTACGCATGTATTATTATAAGCCAGTTCTAAGAATTAATTTACTGTATCTCTATATCTCTGATACAATATTTTGATCAGTAATTATACATTTTGATTGGCTTCATTAATATAAGGTGTACCAATTTAGAGCATCATTTTCTTGGAGATTTTTTTTTTTTCCAAATCAACATTATTCATGTGAAAAATTACATTAAAATGCAGCCAGTCATCATCTCAGGGCACCAAGAACTTGAGAATATATCACATTCATTGATACTCTGGTCACTGCTAAAAACATGACCCTTTTTCTCCTTTTAATTCATTTGACTTCACCTTTTAGAAATCCTGGTTTTGATCTTTCCTGATATATTTAAAGAGTTTTTAAGTGGACAATATTTTGTCTCTGCAAAAGTACTTAGACACTCAGATCAATTAAGGTCTTAATCTTTTTAAAAAACAAAATGGTCTAAACTCCTCAGAATGCCCCTCCTCTGTGGGGCATTTCTCTGGTTTTAAACTTTCCATGAAATTAAAAGGCTGCAGATAAGTGGGTTAAGAGTTGGTGGTTTACATTTTAAAAAGTGCATTTTTTTTCTTTCATAGGCATAGCTTTTATAGCTTGATTTCTTAATTTAGTCACGTATGTATCAGTAACCAGCCAACAAAGCAATGCTCTTTACTTTGAAATATAACATCTTTCAGCATTTACATGGAGAAAGAAACAAGCACGTATTAGTAGTAAAAAAAAGTTCTGATATCAATAATATTGCAGCCAGTTCTTGTTCATCTGCTGGCTCTGTACTTCATCCTTGGTTTGCATTTTCTCTTTTCATTTTTGTCTGTTCTCTCTTTTTTACAGTTTTTTGTTTGTTTGTTTTTGTTGTGTTTTTTTTTTATTCTCACTCTTCCCTAAGCTTAATATTCTGTTTGCTAATCTACATTTTCATCTGCATTTCTTCTATATCAACTATATGAACTATTTTACCCTTTCTTCCATCCCTCTCTCCCAGAACACTATTTTTAATTTTTTTAATTTTTTTTTTTAAATCTGCTCAACCATGGGAATCAACTTATTAAGGTGGCTTTCTTCTTCACTGTGGAAATTGACTGCTTAAAATTATCTGTATTCACATATGCTCACATGTTTTCAAACACTACAAGCAGTTTACTTAGCTATCTACTTTCTTAATGGTGAGTGCTGGAGAATATTTTATTTTATTTTATTTATTTAGTTGTTGTTTTGTTGTTTTTTTTAATAAAGATTTAACAATAAAATTGGTTGTGGCAATTTGTCACGCAATATTACAGTACTGCTAAAAATTATCAACAGTTGTGTGTTATAAATATTCTATGCTGTGCATTGGATTAATTTCCTAAGTGATCCATAGGTACTACTAGTGTCTCAGAATCCTAAGTATCACACAGTATCAAAAGCAGCTTTAATACTTTTAATACAATTAATAAAAACATTGCAATTATTACTAGAGAATAATTTGTCTCCGAGCACTCAGATTTTGCACATTGATACATCAATCAACAAACATAATGACATACTGAAAACATGTAAAATAAATAATTCAGATAACTTGCAAGGTTTCAAAACCTAATGAGTTTTCTTGACATCCCTATAAAGGAGACAAATCTTCTTTCCCTTATTTTTACAGACAGGAAAATAAAGACACGGAGACATTAAGTGACTAGTGCAAGTCACTTCCAGGAGTAGAAAACAACTCAGATTTTATAATTTTTTAATGTTCTTTATTAATAATTTTTAAAAGTGTCCCTTCTGAAGGGAACTGTAAGATTTATTTAAAAATAATTCATAGGGAACTGCTCAAATTGTTCTCTAGCTTCCTGCTTTAGTGTCATTTCCCCTTCTTACGTCATTTTTTAATAGTAGCAAAGAAGCCATTTCCAGTGACCTTAAAAAACTTTGGATCAGGCCTTGTCTGTTAATGTGTTAGAGGTTAGAAATGTAGATAAAAAGGAGCAAGTAAGAGTGCGTGTAACTACACTACTTTGAATATTTAAGTTTAAATTTGCCACTATTATGACTTGCTTGTTGACTTCTAAATAATAACTTTTCCACTGGATATACATGTACTCATTTCAGTATATTCATACAAATATCATTTAAGTTATAAGAAATGTGAAAACATTCTGGCCCTCTACGTAGAAGTGAAATTCATCCACAGGAAATGAACTGTTCAAGTGGCTTGACTTCTCCTTCTAAGAAATAGAGAAAAAATTAACACACTTAGCTGACATCAACCAAATCGCTTCCTTGCAGAATTCCTATACCAACCTGTCTCCTTTGAAGAAGTAGGTTTTCCCAACGTCTTCCCACCAAATTGCTGAATCAATACCATGCGAAGGAATTCCGCTTCCAAGTGTTACCAAATCATGAGGATAACCTGGCTGGAGAGTAGTGTCCTTGAAAACCCAGAACTTGTTTCCTGTACAAAAGCATATATATACATACATATATGTGTGTTAGACTTCAGTACTCACAGTATTATTATTCATACACTCCTAAGAAATAAGAAAGACTCCCAAAGGGCTATAGTGATTCTGCCAAACACAATGAAATGAAAAATTTTCTAACACTGAAGCTAATGCAAATTTAAATATGATTTACAGACACCTTGGATTTATAAAGCACCTCTCTTTCAATAAACTCACAGAATGTTTTGAGACTAACTATATAGGGATCAAACTCAGAACAGAGTAATCTCAAGAGGCCCTGTGGTTGATAATGTAATACATTTACAGCAATATTACACAGCAGATTCACATTTCATTAGGAAAAAGAGTTAATTTAAAGACAAAATGATGTAAGAAAATATATTAATAAATAAAATGAATAAACTACTATCCTCATAGAGAACATATTATTTTACTACTCTGTACTCTCCTTCTCAAGGATGTACAGGCTATTTCTGAAGACTATAGAATTTAACTTCTTTTAAAAATTATATTTTCTTAGTGTGGCCTAAAGACCACAAATTGACATTCCAAAATCCCACAGGTGAAAACATTGTGTTTCTGAATTAATGGTGTGTTGCCTTTAGTACCAAAGGCAGTAAGATTTTCTCTTTGGTTGTTGGTGATTACTCATTCAAAATCACCCAACTGACTTATTAAATGCTGATACAAGGTAGTTGTGTGACTCTAGCTGGGGTTAGCACAGTGTTTACACAAGCCTCAGGTTACCTAAACTGTCTTAAATACAAATAATTACATAGTTGCTCCAGTGTTTTGTAGTACAGCACCCCTCATGCCTGATCTTGGAGATGATCCTTCCTGTGCTCTCACTTTCAACTGGGTATCTTACCTCACCAGCACACAACTCCACTTCCTCACCTTCAGTTTGCTCTAGCTGTCTAGCCAAGCTCTTCTTTACTGAACACTTCCATGATTATCTCACCTGGGTCATTATCTCATACTAAGCCTTTAGTCTAACACTGTTCCCAATATTTCCGTTGTTCTCTAGACACGTTACTAGGGTCTTCTCCACATACCTCCTGTCTTATTCTTGCAACTATCTTCTCCTTTTTACACTTTTGCTTTCTTCTAATTCTTCTTAACAATACACGTTTCACCTGTGTCTTTTCAGTAGAGACTTCTCTTTCAAACACAGACAACTTTGGCTGAAAAAAGGAAATTAGCATTCTCATAAACCCCCTAGAAATAGGGAAAAGGGAGCATAATTTGTATTTTAGTGCTTATCTGAAGAGTTTGCTTTGAGGCCTGTCTTCGGTTTGCATATATGTCATTTAGGCCACAGGGCCACTCTTTCTAAGCCAAACTATAGGCTCCATTGAGTAGGAACCATGTGCTTGTTTTCTCTTCAAAGTATCACCTTTGTGTTTCCAAAGAGCATTGCTATTTTTAGTAATAATAATAACAGTGAAGGAGAAGGTATTCTTTGATGTCATGTAGGCCATTCTGAGTTGCATCACAGGAAGGTCTAGAGAAGATCCACGAACATATATGCTGGAAAGAGTCCAACAAAGGGCTATGAGAATGATTAAGGGACTGGAACCTCTGTCATAAGAGGAAAGGCTAAGAGACCTGTGGCTTTTTAGTCTTGAGAAATGAAGACTGAGAGGGGAACTCAGTAATGTCTAGAAATATCTGAAGGGTGGATGTCAAGAATAGGCCAGTCTCTTCTCAGTGGTGCCCTGTGACAGGACAAGGGGAAATGGCATCAAGTTACAACACAGGAAGTTCCACCTCAACATGAGGAAACACTTCTTTACTGTGAGGGTGACAGAGCACTGGAACAAAATCATGGCTGATTAAGTCATTGTACCTACCCGTAAGGCTAGACAGGCTGTTACACAAGACTTAGATTAAGGCAGCATGCTGTATAAATATTTTATAAGGAAATGTAATATTGCCACAAAGATCTAGTATCAGGTGTATGCCAGAGTCACCAAGATGGAAAATCTGGAGAGCTGGTTTGCAGTTGTTTTTTATTTTATCTGTCCCTCAGTGGGATTAAATGCTTGTTTAACGGGAGGGAGTTTTAATCTCTCTGCTTGTACTGGAGTGATTTAGAGCATGCTTTCATTTTATCAGAGTTTTAATTAGAACAGGGGATATAGTTTCAGTCCCTCTCATACTGGGTATCCAGAGTAAATTTTTTATCACCTTCTTTACAGCTGCTTGTCACACACTTCCCAACACTACAGTTTGTTCAATAGATTCATCTTCTTCCCCCTGCCAGTTGAAAGGAGAAAGGGTTCAAAGAATGGATATGTACAGAGCCCTTTGAAGTTCTGAAAATAAAAAAGACATGGAGATCTATGAAGACCAGTTATGGAAAGTCAAGGTCTGTGTTGACCTGGGATTAAGTTCTGTGCTAAGCTGACTTTTATAAACTCCTTACAAAATTCACTTATAGGATTTGATCATGACAGGGGTGAGCATCTTCAGTCATTCACTGTTCCTCTCCCATGTGGTTTAACCCTTTTGCCAATTCCTTGACAGGACACAGAAGGCTTCAGATGGTATTGGAAGTTTCAAAAGTTGCCATGTGTTTTGGACCTGACTAGTTGGTACTTATGGTGTGTATAGCAGATGGCATCCAGTGAATGATACTGAGCCAGATAATTTCTGTTTCAGAAGATCATTCAAAATGACAGCTGTTGCACAGCATTGAGAGGCATATGCTGTGATGTATGCAATGCCATTACCTTTCTCTGTGCCTCACAAGGAATAAGAGGAAGAGCAGTTATTAGGAATAGGTCGTTATCAGCCATATGCAACAAGTCAAATTTGGCTATTAACAAGATCAGGTCATATAAAAATAAAGAGGGGTTGAGCACATACCTTGTAAGTGACAGCACCACTGAACCAGGTATTTATGCATGCTCAGATATAGTGAAGTAGAAGGAAAGCACATATGTGGGAAGACAGTACAAGAGATTAAATGCTTCTTCACTTAATTCCTTAATAAGGAGCAAATTCTTTCAGGGTAAACAGAGAAAAGGTAAACTTAACTGTATTTTCTGGAGACAGCAGGGCATTGAGAGGTCTAGCATATGTGGGCAAGACTTCCATTGATTCTAACAAGAAGGAATTGCATTTAACATTTGCTTTGGAAGACACGTTTAGTCTGCTACGACTCTGTTGACTGCTAATGGGAAGGACTGTATATAAGAAATCCAAATGTTCCATATGGTTGCCAGTTTCCACTTTCGTTGTTTCTTTTTGTTAGTTTATTTCAGGGAGTTTTAGCTGGTTTTGTTGGTTTTGTTTGTTTTTCTGTTCAGCTTTTGTGCCTCCGCTGGAGGGAATTGGATAGCTGTTGATCAGAGGATTTCCAAAAAACCCAGAAAAAATCAGAAGCTTTCAAAATCAGAACCAAATATTACTAGGAGTTAAAGCTGAAAATCAGTGCAAAGACGTCTGGCTGTGATAAGCATTAGGTCATTTTATTTCTAACTTATATTTATGTATCTTAAATAGTATTAAAAATGAAAGCTTAAGACAGTGTGCTTTCATTTATCTCATGTTCTGCTTCCTCTAATAAAAAGTCAATACTCTTCATTAACTGTGATTAGAAGGAAAATAAGGAATATGTGACAAAACTATAATAGTTACAGTTTGATCCTTCTTACAGATAACTAATGCTCTTCCAGAGTCCTAACCTATGCCCTTGGCATAAATCACCACTGTATTTATTTTATAAAGTTGTTTTTTATGGTCTGGTTGGTGGGTTTGTTATTCTCATAGAGAATAAAGCACCACATGTTTCACAAAGTCTGACCAACCTTCAGAACGTTTCATCTCTCTGCTTTTATTCCCTAATGTAAGATCTAATATAAAAACAAAGAAAATAGTAAGGTAACAAGCTGAAAATGAAGTGATTAAAAAAAGTCAAACTGTCTTTGCAATTATGCTTTGTTAAATATCATCACTGTAAGGAAACAGTTGAGAAGGATGAACTGTGACTGCAGTTATTTGAAGTCACTCAACATCTTTGACATTCTAAACAAATTGCTGGAAATAAAGGATATCTATCATTATGTTTCAATTTTAATATTAAAAATTTAACTCCATATAGTCTTCAGACTGCTCAACTACCTACTCACTACTGCAAACAATTATGAAGTTTTTAGCAACTGCAGTTCTTCCAGTCTCAGAATGCTGAATAGTTGTGCTCCTGTGTTGTCAGCAGCCAAGCTTTTGGTTCATGGTATATACAATTATAATATTTGTGTACTTCAAGACCTCTGTGGGATATAGCATATAACTACTATAAGTGTTACAGTGATGAAACAAATTCTCAAATATTTTAAGAACTATATTTGATTGAAACCGGTTAAAATTTTATTATCTAATTCTGAAGGTTTTTTCCTCAGTCACCCTTGCTCTCAATTTTGATCTTTCATCCTGGATCAACTGTCTTCATACTAGTGCTCCCATGTTACTATTCATGCTTCCTTTTTTTTCATTCTCTATTTCCCACATAAAGTTTCTGTTATTTCTCTGCTCCATGATCTGACACTATAGTAAATCTATTCATAAAAATAAAACTGTCAAGCAGTAGGATAAATGCAATTGAAAGTTATGATGGTGCCACTGGTAGTATGAGTTTTACAGCAGCCTTCTATTGCTACATTAGGTTTACCATAACTTTCAAAAGCACAGATGGTTTGACAATTTCATTTTTAGCACCATATAAATTCCCACAGATACAAAGAATAAAGTTTACTATTCACATTTCCTCATTAAAAGAAAAAAAAAAAAAAAAAAAAAAAAGGAAAAAAAAAAAAAAAAAAAAAAAAAAAATATTTCGGGGGCCCT